CAAAAACGCATTGTTGTTTAAAAGTATACAATTTATGTTCAAGAATTTACAACCTACCTCGTTATTTTAACTAAAAGCAATAATAGTGAACCCTACTTAACCTAATCTTAACCTCTTTCTTATCGCTGTTATATAAAGTCGAATAGTATTAGCTACGTTATCTAAATATTATTACTTTAGTCCATGAAAAATAGTTAAAAAAATATACTACGCATGAAATAATTTAAAGAACTCATTCATTTAGGAAACCCTTTTTAATTACTGTCTTATCGTATTTATATTAATAATATAACCAATTAAAGAATGCAAAGGCACAATCAATTCTTTATAGGCACACAGTATATGTACATTCATTTCAGCTATTTAAAATTACAGAATATATGAAAACTGTAATTAAATAAATGCATTTTTGTTGTGTGTAAATAAAATTGTACATATTGATGTAATTCAGATGTAATAAGTTACATAGAACTATTAAATAAAACTGTATATATGAATCATCATGCTGACTACGCAAAAACGTAATAAGTGTAACTAGCTTACGATATATTTTGCAACATTAAAATTTTCCACATGTTAATAAAAATACATTACACAAAATTACTAATAAGTTCGTAATTCTGTATATTTATGTAACATCAACCCAAGTATTTTGCAATAGCGACGTAAGAATTACAATATTTCTCTAATACGATATTTGCATCATCGAAAATTTTCCAAGACGGAACTATAGATTCCGTAGAATAGAGGCGGACAATTGCAAAAAAAAAACCATCATTAAATGACCATAGTTTATATCTAACGCAATAATGAAATTCAATTTTTATTTTTTCTATGCTTACGTCTTATTTGTAATAGTATTTGCAAATGTTAAATTCATGTTCACGAACGTTATCATATTCAAATGTTTATAAAAACAAACGAATACGAATTACAACTGTCTTAAAATTACGTAGATACAGATATTCTTTTAATATGAAATATATTTAAACAAAATTAATACCTTTTCCTTTGAAATAAAGTCTACTTCGTAGTCTGCTAAGACGTGCTATCCAACTCTGCAGCTTACAAAGAAGTGTGTGACCGGTAACCGCTTTCCGTAGAACTTTTTACCAATCCACAGACAAGGTATAGGATAGACCGCACATTCAATGTAAATTCGTGTCACACGGTCCGAACACTGCTCACGTAGCCCTGTTACCTTTCTCGTGCTACATGCGACGTTATCGATACAGAACGAAATAAGATTACAGCGCTATAGTGGTAGTGGGAATTGTAATTAAACAATGTAACAACACAGACGACATACAGGCACAAACGAGGTACAGAATAGACATATCACTCAATGTCATTATCACTCTTATCATTTTTGTGTCACTTCCAACTTTACCGATTTAACATAGAATAAGATTACAACGTAGGCAGTGGTTACAATCAGAAATAAATATAACTATAAATTTGTAAATAAAGAATAGGACATCTTTATTTCAGGTTGCTTTCGTTATCCCCTTCAAGCACCACGCCACGATTACTCTCGCAATGTTAGAGTGGATATCATTTCTAAACTTACCGTTTTAAATGTTAGAGAACATAAGAAAACCTCTAATTTTTTACACAATCGATATTGCAGAACATGAGATACGAAGTTCTATAAGGTGATTGGTCTATTCTGTACTTCGTCTATGGCTATACCTTGTCTGTGATATTACGTTTATTTTCTTATCAACGAAGAACGAATGTCAGTGATTATTATTACAAACTGATCCTGTTTGTCAGATTTTAGAATAAGGTATTTTGAAATAATCTTTAAGAAATTTTTTATTTAAATATATTTTAGTTGCTAATAATATATGTAAGGTACATTCAAAGATAGAAAATATTTCTAGTCTCTCAAGATTATACTAGAATGCATGTGCACACAATTTACATACAATCAAATTTGAAACATTTTAAAAATTATATAAAATAACACAAACTTTCAAAATTATATAGTTAAGATTTAGAGGAAATTCTATTGTGAGTATAATAATCAAGAAAGCACGTATTATTTAAAATGACAATTTATACTATACATCAATATTTGATTGTATTTGTGTTCCTTCAATTCCGTATTTTTATAATGTTCCATCAACAGATGTTCCCTTTTACCTTTTGTTTTATAATTAAACAGATTTATATTTAAGTGTTGAATACTGTATTTTTTTAAAAATAAAATTCAATTAAATCGAAAAAATTTACTTCGAGAATTAATTGGATCTTTTGGTATGTTTCGTCTGATTAAAAAATACAATCACGAAAATATAAAAGGCGATCCTAAAAAATGATTTCAAACTTTTTTTATGAAATTCTTGTATATAAATTCCTATGGTTTAAAGCTTGTTAAGGTTATATGTACTGAATATGTTTTTTAGTTGTTAGCAATTACTATTATAATTTCTATTTCTGTATACTTTTATTTTATGTCATAATTAAATTAAAAAAAGATTTGCATCAATAATTGTGTGTATTAATTAAGGTAGAGCTACAAGTGTTTAATCATTTAAAATAATTTTATAGATGCAATAACATACATATTTGTATCTATATTATTTTAATATGGGATATATAAAAAGAGAAACATGATCTGTAATTTAAGTTTGATTTCTGTTCTTCAATTTCATATACAATTATGAAAAAAAATCCAACATATTTGGTCAATGATATTAGAGAATTCTTTCAGATATTGTGAATACAAACCTGATTTATTAAAAGTTAGCTTAAATTACCTGACATTGCCCAGGCTGTTTCCATCTAGAACATCAGCATTTGTGGAAATGTGAAAATCAAACAACAATATATTGAAATTAATTTGTCTTCTCACTATATGTAAAATAGAATATCAGACAGTTTCTACATCTGTGCATCTGTGTAAAATCTAACAGTTGTCATTTTGAACATATAATTTAAGTAAGCTCGAAACTTAAGATTAAAGACATTGCATGCTATTTAGCCTTTTCACCTGAACATTTTTATCACAGTATAATTTTTATCATTGTTATCTCTTGTATCAATGGTTATATATGTATAGGGTGTCATGTACTAGTAGTACAGGAAGGTGGTGTGATTCTAGGTAAAAATCTACATTGAAAATGTAGAATAAAATTGTTTGCAAGAAAATTGAATTCAAATATTTGCTACAAACTGTTGCATCTGCCTATACTTTTCTATTGATAAATAGTAGTAATGTCACATTTTGCAAAGAAACAGTTTACACAGAAGATAGTGTAAATCTGTAGCTGAAAGAGAGAATTGTACAGACTTTCACACAATTAAAGCACCAAAATATATCATCAGTCACAACTCTGCAATTCAAAGAGCAAGGATTTGTATGTAAATTTTTAATATAAATTTAAAATTAAGGAAATTGGTAAAAATGTATTATTCGTATAGATCATGACATTGGCATCACTTATTAGTATTACAAACATAAATCGCGACATGGTTAATTGCACACATACCAGGCAAAGTCAATTTTCTTTAACACAAAGCCTCATATGAACAAATTTTATTCTATATTTTCAACTTATTTTTTCATGAAAAATCACCACCTCCCTGATTGTACCACCAATTACATGACACATATATTTAATCTATGTATTTTGTTCATTGAATTGCATTCTATGCAATATCAAATATTTATGTATTAACTAAATGGACTGTTGAATGTGACTTCAACTTATTTTATCTTTAATAATTACAGTTCATGTCAACAATTCCTTATGGTGCCTTTAGTATATTTTAGTTTAAGTATACCATTTTATTAAACGAAACAATAATTAATAAAATCTCAAAATAATGTGGTCTTTAAAAAAATTATTTTTTCATAACAAACGTTTGCCTTTTTGGAAAATAAAGTTGCTTCCTTCAACCTGTTTTTCTATCAGCAAAAGAGATAGTAGACAAGGGGCGATTCTACATGTAAAAATAAACCGAAAATAAAGAAAAAAAATTTGTTCGTTTCAAGCTTCGTTTTCACGGGAATCAAATTTGAATATCTATCGAGAACACGTGTACTTACTTGACTATCTCCGGGCTTTATGTTTGTACTAATAACCAGTGCCAATGTCACGATAAGTACTAATAATACGTTTATTAACAATTTTATTGCTTTACATGCACATTACTGAACGAATTGTTGAAAGTGACGTCCTTGTTGACGCACACAAATTGTTTCATTTCGAATCAGAGTCGTGGACTGATGCTACGGTATTTCGATGCCTCAATTTCTCGAAATATTAATCTTTCTTTCAGCAGCAGAAGATTTTCACTGCTTTCTGCGTACACTGTTTCTTTCACATAACCCCATAAATCGAAGTCTAATGGGCTAAAGTCCAGTAATCTTGTACGGTACATATGCAGTTCATTGCGTAAAAAGTGTAAGTAAGATATTCCATTCAGCGTATCCAGCAAGAAATATGATCGTATGATGTTAAGTTCCAATTATCCCAGTTCATACATTAATACTCAATTTGCTTTTAAATTCATTTTCTTGGACTATACGTAGATTCACGAATGACCCCTAGCGTGTATTGCGTCCATTGAGAGTAAAATCTCGTGTGAACGTCGATTCATCTCGTTCATAAAACGAAGAATGTACATAAATCGACCGTTATTACCATGCTGGTGAAGCAGCCAATCGCAGAAGCTTAATCGCGATAGATGATTGCGTTCTTTGATAAGATATCGCTTATACTATTTGAAAGAGTATAAAATAAACTGTTCATATAGAATTTTTTATTAAATTTTAATGATACTTTCTTTGGACAATTTTCTCAACTTTTTAGATCTATGAAAATCAGAAAAATTTGCAAACGTTATATAAAAAAAATCAAAGTTCACAAATTATATATTATCAGAAAGCTTGATTTTTTTTGTGATTCCTTGTTGTAAATCACGTTTCGATATGTTGTTTGAATCGAAAGTTATAGCCCCTAAAGTGTTTTGTCAAGTGCGCATTTCAACCCTCACTCCCTTTTGCCACCTGGTGGTCAGCAGAGAAACTAACGATGGGAATCGATGACGTATAGTCGGTGGAAGAAATATAGCAAGCTCGTTGTGATTGCATTTTGTGTGATTAAATCACATTTTGAATATTGTAGCGTATTGGAGACACTATTTGTGTACGATTAATTTGTC